TACAAAAAATTAGCTGGGATTACAGGCACGCGCCACCATGCCCAGCTAATTTTTTGTATTTTTAGTAGAGACGGGGTTTCACCATGTTGACCAGGATGGTCTTGATCTCTTGACCTCGTGATCCACCCGCCCCGGCCTCCCAAAGTGCTGGGATTACAGGCGTGAGCCACTGCGCCCGGCCTTTTTTCTTTTCTTTTTTATAAGATGGGGTGGCTGGTCTTGAACTCCTGACCTCAGGTGATCCACCAACCATGATGGCCAGGCTGGTCTTGAACTCCTGACCTCAGGTGATCCACCCACCTCGGCCTCCCAAAGTGCTAGAATTACAGGCGTGAGCCACTGCGCCCGGCCCAGAAATTGCATTTCTTAGATACAAATTTTTTATTTCCCAAATCTCAAGATCTGGATTCAAAATTGGGAGCTGCAGATTTGGGGCCTGAATGGCTGGAGTAGCAGCAGGGGTTACCTGTACATTCGTGAGCATTTTGGCAAGAGGAGGAAAGGGAAAGTGGAGATTCCCATGTCTCCACGTCTATTCAGTGCACACGTGTTACTGATTGGGTTTCTGGGCCTCATAGTCTCTGAATCAGTTGCAGGTCTGAAGATACAAGAGTCATTGAAAGAGGTAAAATGATTGATTGCTGCCCTGTGAAGTTTGTAGAAATTTGCTCTAGCCTCTCTAGAAATGATGTAGAGGACTATAGATAGCAAATAGGCAGAGACACAATTCTGCCTACATATTTAGGAGACAGAATGCACAAGTGTGAGTTGACTGGAGGACTGAGAGAAGCCCCTTCTAGAGTAAATTGTGGTTGGCACCTTATGTGTTTATATTATTTCTGGTAATTCTAGACAGTGTTTGGAAACAATAATTAAAAGAAACATTTTCTCCAGCCCCAGAGAAAACCCACAATAATGGAACCGAAAGAAAACTGTTTTGTTACACAATTATACTTGAATGTGACATTCATCATAGTCAATCTGCTCAAGAGACGGCAAACACAGAATGAAGGACTAAGAATTAGTCCACAAGTAGAATTTACAGCACCACATCATACACAGTTTATCCTGAATTCACCCGGAGATCGAAGAAGCCAGCTGTGTATGTCAATTCCTTATATTCAATGACAATCTCACATCTTCATAACAGGAGGTGGTTTAGCAGCCTGAAGCCAGGTGCCTAAGGAAGGTAGGCTTTCACTTTGCTACAAAAATGGCTGAACAGGATTCTATCTTTTTGGCTATTTACATTTTAGAGCAGTGGCTCTGTACTCCCTGGCTCTGCGCTACAGTGCTCCTGCTGGCTTTCTCCTGGTTGCTAGTGTCCTCTCCTGACCTCTACCATCTGCCACTGAGGCACAGCCCAGAGCACAGCTCACATTTGCTGTGAACCCCATTTGTCACAGCAGCACTCTAGTGTCGCATCAGAGAGTAAAGCCTGAGCTGCAGGAGGAGAGCCCGCAGGCCTTGTGGGTAGAATTGCACCTTCACAGTAACGGAAGTGAAAGCAGTGTTTCAGCCTCAGTTTCTTCTTATAATGGTGACATGGAAAAAATACTGCTGAATTTCCAGAGATTTTGATTTTCTAGCAGTGTTTTTTGGCAAGAAACATTAGGATAAAAAATGCTGTGGTGGGGAGGCCGAGGCGGGTGGATCACGAGGTCAAGAGATCGAGACCATCCTGGTCAACATGGTGAAACCCCGTCTCTACTAAAAATACAAAAAATCAGCTGGGCATGGTGGCACATGCCTGTAATCCCAGCTACTCAGGAGGCTGAGGCAGGAGAATTGCCTGAACCCAGGAGGCGGAGGTTGCGGTGAGCCGAGATCGGGCCATTGCACTCCAGCCTGGGTAACAAGAGCGAAACTCCGTCTCAAAAAAAAAAAAAAAAAATCCGAAGATCGGAATTCACTTTACGAGGGTGGTGTCTAGTCCTGGGAGGAGTGTGGACACGTCGATATGCGGAGTGTGTGTTTGTGAGTGGGTGGGAATCCTGTGGTGGCAGCTGTGGGAAAAGGGAGTCTGTCATTAGAGCTCCTTTCCTCTAGGTTTTCAGTCCTCTGTCACCCTGGGAGCAGACCTGGAATCACAGGACAACGGGCAGTGTGACAGCCTGTATACAGGACAGCAGAGCCTCTCATTCCCAGACACCCAGGGTTTTATTTCAGGTAAGGCCTCCGTGGTATCTTTTTTCTGGCACCAAATGTGTAGCATCTGCTGAACATCAAACAGTTCTCCAACACCGACTTAGTCTAACATTTGAATTCTGACAATACCCCGAGTCAGCACCGACCCTGATTCAGGGCTCAGTCCCATCACATTGTCCTCACTGCAGTTGCCAGTCACAAACCCCATAGGCCCATCTATGCTTCTGAGCTACAGTACTGTTTAAAAACTAGGGAATCGGGCCGGGCGCGGTGGCTCACGCCTGTAATCCCAGCACTTTGGGAGGCCGAGGCGGGTGGATCACGAGGTCAAGAGATCGAGACCATCCTGGTCAACATGGTGAAACCCCGTCTCTACTAAAA